TATGCAATTTTTATAAAAATACTAGAAATTTTGATAAAATTTGGTGAAAAATTCACTTATTAAAAGTGGTCATAATTGGATAGTATGTAATAATCGCTTAATTAATTATTTTACACTATTTTTACCAAAGTATTCCTGAAGAAAATAATAGAAAAGGTAAAAAATATAATCAAAACTGATGAAAATGTCTTAAACCACAGTAAAATGTTCAAAGGACGGTTCAGTAGAAGATAAACTGCGCGTAGGTGGAAAACGGATCAGTGTAGCAGCAAGAATTGATATGGCTCATCAGATAGCACGTGGACTGGAATATCTACATTCTAAAATGTGTATTCATAGGTAAAATGCTTCTAACTTAGTAACTTTTGTTTCTGTTTGATTAAAAAAATTTTATTTAAACTACTGATATTTATCAAAGAAATGTTTTATTAATTCCTGTGCAGCTGATCATATGTTGAACCGAGCCGTATAAGTTCAGTGAAGCTTCTTCGTTTTTGAAAATAAATCATTGGTTGCCAAAAAATTCAAAAATTTTTATCTCAACTTTTGTTTTTACTTTGAAAAATGCAAAGTTGAATAATAAACGTAAAAATTTATTTACTGTCACAAACTTTTTCTTCATGAGTCGATACTTTCACGTATATATGCAAAAATTTCAGAGAACTAATTTATTGATGCAATTTTAAAATATAGCAATATTTGTATATTTTCATAGTATTTCATAGACTAATTTTTTAGAAAACGGTAAATTACTGATTCAATTAATTTGAATTTGAGAAATGCCTTGAAGTACATAATAATGGATGGTATATTTTTTAACTGTTTTCAAGTTTAGAGATATCGCCACACGTAACTGTTTACTTTCTGGAAGTATCGTGAAATTAGCTGATTTTGGAATGTGTCGAGCAACATTAGTGTATAAAATTGACCTTTCTAAGCCACTGAATGTTCGATGGCTAGCACCCGAGGTTTTTTTTTGACCTGATAAATTTCAGTATTTATGTCAAGGTGAAATAATTTTTTATCTCAAAGATGAAAAGCATATTTTGAAAGACCTAGAGACTGTCCCGATGTTATCAATTTGCATATAAATACTACAATAATTAAGGTATGGCGATCAGGTGAAACTCGATTTTGCACAGATATTTATGCCTTTGCAATCACACTTTGGGAGTTATTTGAGATACCGTATATACATCCATATTCCACGTGGAAAGCATACAAAGTCAAAGAAAAAGTATTATACAATTTTTGAAGATTTTTCCGATAATTTTGATCAGTAATACTCGACTTTTTTAAAATAATTTAATGTAGGTAATGGCAGGATATCGTTTACCAAGCCCAAGTGATATGCCAGATAGTGTAATAGCTCTGATGCGAAAATGTTGGGATCAGGAGCCTAAGAGAAGGCCAACAGCTGCTGAAGCATGCGCAGAACTTGAAATCATCAACAAGGTATAATTGAGATTGCTATGCATAATTAATAGATATCCATAATTAATAGGTATTAGTAATTAATTAACTAGCAAAAAAGAACCACAATTTATACAGATATAAAATTAGTCATACGAGCAACATTTCAAGAATTTTGTAAAGTGTTTGTACGACTACTTTTCATCGAACAATTTTGAATGCATAGAATTACACTTTGTAAGTAAACAAAATCACATTGAAAAAGAATAATTTTTTGCAGCAATATAATGGCGAAGAAGATATTCGTACAGCAGTTTTCACGCACTCTCCAGCGTTTGATGACTTAGCTTTAAGCTCCTCTCAACGTGGTCGTCCATCCACTATCGAACGCTAATTTAGAATGATAATTGAGCTGCTAGCGTATTGAAGCAACAAAAAATTATTACAAGCATACATTATACGTGTTCATTAAGAGAAAATGAATTTTTAATTGCTAACTTCTCCATCCAATTACGTTGATTTTACTGCTAAGTATTTAGATTTGATTCATAAATAATCGAAACATTAGATTGAAAATTATCTCAACAGTACTCCAATAATGCTTACAAATTTTTTAAATACTTGTTTTTGTCAAAAATTATTAATTTATTACTTGTAGTTATTAATTTATTTGTAATAAATTGATAATTTTTAACAAAAATAAGTATTTAAAAAATTTTGTAAGCATTATTGGAGTACTGTTGAGATAGTAAAGGAACAATGTATTACGTTTAATAAAACAAAATTATTTTTTAATTTATGCAAATGAAATATAAATGAATGAAAAATATGCAAATTTTTAATAAAATATGTCATAATCTCTGCTCACTCTTCCCCTTCTCCCTCATCATCCTCGTCCTCCTTCTTTCCTTTATTTTTCGCTTTCTCTTCTTCTTCATCCTCATCTTCCTTCTCTGGACTTTTGCATTTCTTTTTAGGCTTTTCTGCCTCCTCCTCGTCATCTTCCTCCTCCTCTTCCTCTACTTTCTTTCCCTTTTTGCCCTTTTTCTTCGGCTTTTCTTCTTCCTCTTCCTCCTCCTCTTCTTTTTTCTTCTTCGTCTTTCGTTTTGCCTTCTTCTCTCCTTCGTCTTCTAACTTCTCTTCTTCTTTTGCATCTTCTAAAAAATTATTCCATTTTTTATTAATTACAATTAAAAATTTTTATTAATTATAATTAAATTAGTTCAAATATGAAAAATTATTTGTTCAAATGTTGTTAGCACTTACCGCCAGCTGTTGCTTTTTCTTCCTTCTTAACTTTCTTAGCTTCTTCTTCTTCAACTTTTAGTGCTTGCGCCTTTGGCAGTTCACCTTTTGCTTTTTTCTTCTCATCCGAAAACGACATTCCTTTGTACGTTATCTTAATTACACGTCGACACGCACCAATACTTGACTATAACATCGATCACGTCAAAAGTAGCGTTACTTTTTTGCAAAAATATACTTTTAGCTTTCAGTATTAGCTGAGTAACCTTTGTGTGCTTAAAACAGCGCATCCTTATTAATTACAAACAATTCAAAATGTTATTTGCTTGTAATACCAAAACGATTACTTTTTAAAACTTTTCACAAAATGCAAACTTCAGATTTTTTGCTTTCTTTCCAGCTTTTCCATGTTTTCATAGGATTGCTGCATTTATCTGGCGCTGGCGCCATAACTACCGTAAAATGGTCGTTTTTTTTTGGCTTCTTTGTAGGATCCCATTTTTTCAGTGTTAAAACTATTTTTTTCTGAAGCTCTTTTTTATATTTTGAATTTAATAAAATTTATTTAAAATTAGTCAATAATTAGTAAATCCATTGTAGAACTAAGGAAGGTAGTTTATAATGATGCATGACATGAACTTTATTTTTTCTCGCTCGTACAACCTTACATAGAACTTTTCAGTTATTAAATATTAATTGTCAAGCACAAAACATCAGCCATTTGAAATAATTATCAAGTTAGAAAATGATCAAAATCACTGCTGTTCACTGATCAGTAAGATAATCGATTGTTGATGAAAAGCACCTATTCAAATATGGCTTAGAGATCGCAAATCGGCATAGCTTTTGATCAACATGATCAGTAATCAGCTTAGTGATTGCAGATCTCTAGCATGATCAGTGACTAGAACAGCAGTGATCAGCATGAGTTTTAATGAACTGGGAGAAATATTAGCACACTAACCGTGCTACCACAATCGATGTGTCCATACACAGGTTTCATCTTAAAGGCATCAGGTCTCGTGGTTTTCATTTTAAAAATGATAGCTTTATTCCAGTCATTCTTTATATCCAAATCTACAGTTTGACGTTCAGTTAAAGGTGTTGAGAATGTTACCTAAAATTTAAACCTTATGGAAGTATAAAAGTATAGCTATTGATCCCTTTTGAAACTTTTTGATGAAAATTTTAGACCATAACAATTTCCACTTTGGCCAACATAAAGTGTATCATATTCATGAAAACTTTACTCAATGACGTACTCTTACTTATTTTTATTAAAACTACATTTTTTTGTAGAATATTACTGTATCTACAACGTTCTAGTGGCAATTATTTTCATCAATCGGTACTAATACAAATTTTAATGCGCAAATTGAAATTAGTTCCTTAATTATAACTATTTGTACAATGAGACATTTTTATTTTTTTCATATAAAGTATGAAAACAATGAAATTTTCAAAGTGAGTTTTTCAGAACTTTTTGTAAAATCTTCGTGTACTTATTTTTCATAAGATATAGCAAAAAAAGAAGTGAAAAATAAATAAATGTTACAAATACTCATCACATAATCTTTGCCAAAGTAATGAGAAAATCTTCTAAAACTGTTAATCAAAGTAAACAATATAAGTTATTAAATAAAACATGATAATTATTATTTTCATTATTTCATTAGCATTAATTTTATGAACAAATTAACCACTGTAGGCTGCACTGTAAGTTTCTTGTCCATCTACAGTGAGAGAATACAATTTTTGCAGTTAGCAAACAGTTCGGAAACAAATTGTAAAATGGTTGTCATTACTACAAATTATCACTTTTAAATCGTTTTAATACAAATTTAAATATTCATTTGCTACAGAATTTTACGATATTAATGGCAAAAAGTGAAAGAAATAACTAAAAAAACGTTTATTTTCATTATGTATAAAGTTGATTTGGCTGCCAATTCCAATAAATATTTTTAATAATTATGCTTTTTTATGAAAATTTTTAAATTTTATTTTTCACGATTTTAAATTTTTCCGAAATAATAGCAATTAATTATCGATTTTCCTTTAATTTTCCTTCATAATCATTATTAATAATTCTTTTGTAAATATATTTCGTTTCAACTAAAACGATTATTGAATTGAAGTTGAACTTACAACAGAAAACTTGATTTTAAATTCTACTCCATCAATTATGATACCTTATTGGTATTAAGTAGTGTTATTTTGTTTTTGTGCTCGCATATATGTCAAAGATGAATATTAGTGATGAAAAGAGTGACAAGTGGATTAAAATTAAAGTTAATAATTTAACTTTTTGATCTGCTGAAGAAGCAGACATTATGCAAATTGAACTGAACTAACTGACCGCTCAACTTTTCTCAGCAAATTGCGACTAATTCTGAAAAATTTTTCATTCAAATAAAGTAGAATCAACGTTATTCATTTTATGACCTTACTTATTCCACTATTCTTCGCTCGCTAATAATTGCTGAATATTCTTGATTTACTCTATTTTTTTAAGTCATTTTGACTTTTTTCTTACTTATCCCTTCCATAATGTGACATTACTTCTCGTCTTAACTAGTTGTATGATTCCATTACAACTTTTACTCACGTTATTTGCTGAATTGAATTTAGGCATCGCTCAGAATGTCAGAAGTATTGGAAGTAGATACTGCTGCCCGTAAGTATTACTGATTATTTTGATTCTTTTTGAAAAAACTTTTTTTGAATAATACTTCTCATTGGTATCAATTCTTTTCACGAGATTCTACCAGAATGTTCACAAAGGCATGCATATCAATTTAAATCATTCTAATTACGACTGTAAAAAGTTGGCAAAACTTTCTATTTAATTAACAATACACGTTTCTTCTTTCAAAATTACGTGCGTAAAAATTGAAATTTTGTATTCTCAACAATTGAAAGACAGTAATCATTGGATTCTGTTTTAAAAATACCATTCATTTTTTTCAAATTCCCCTAACTGCTTGCATGTTTCAAATGTGGAAAGATGACTGCAAAAATGGATAGTTCTGAAAATGTTATTTAAAAACATTAGATAATCATTACATAACTACATTTTCAAAAGCTATTACAAAACTTATACCTCTGATAATACTTTGCTGAAAAGTTTCAGATGTGCATGTTGCATTTGTGAGAATGTCTGCAGCTGTCAAATGGATAAAATTTCGTCACTATTTTTGAATCCAAGTTCACAGAATACGTTACCATTTCCAACGCCACCGCATGAATCTCTAAAAAATACCCAGTCTAATTTGATGCTGAATCAAGATTTCATGGAAAAACCACCAGACAAAGTCATGAACGAAATACCAGATTATAATTCTCAAACAGTTATGATAAATGATCTAGAAAATAATCACTTAATAGCTATCAATAAGTCATTACCAGCACCAATGAATGTAAGGGCTGTTGAAAAGTTCTTCAGCAAAAATTTAAAACAGAGACTTAGATCTTCAGAGGAAATTAACGAAAAAGATGTGACTTCTAACGACGAACAAACAAATTCCAAAAGCAATACTTTTAACAACAATTACGACGACGAGAATGAAAATTATTCGACATCGAATGATGAGGAGAATCAGGATTTCAAAAGTGCACATGAAGAAACATCTAAAGGTGAGAAGGATTATGACAGTAAGGATGAAAATCTGCCAATATGGAACGATCAGAAGGAGCTTTCTGAGCAAAATAGAATTGGACAGGACTCAGAGATTCAGGAAGACAGTAGTGAAAGGAATGAGAATCAGTTATCTGTAGAAGATCACGATTATTATGATAAAAGTGAAGATCAAAAGATATCTGAAGATCAGAAGAATTCTCACGACATAGGAGGGAGTCAAGAACTTTCTGCACATCAGGATCATAATGAAAAAAAATCAAATGAAGTGGATAACTTAAATGAGGAATCACATGAGGTGGACGCAAATTCTTGTGAAAATAATTGTGAAGGATTGTGTGAAAATAATTGTGAAGAATCACATTTTCATCATGCAGATGACATTGCAGAATCTGAAATTCAAACTTCACAGAACAAGAATACAAGTGCAGAAGTTGAATCAGAAACTGATAGAGAAAGGGAATCTTGTAATGATGCCTCTTGTGAACACACATCAGCCAACTATGATCCCTACCTCGTGGGAGCTTCTTCAGGTAATTTGCAATCATCTCCTTGGCCACCAGCACAGAAGCCGACGGATGACAAGTGGAAAGCACCGAGAGAACCAGAGCAATATTCAGAAAATTACTATTATGCCGTCAAGAATGAAAAAAATTGCCAAATGGCAGCTTCTTCCAGTTCTAATCTAAAAGACCAAAAAAATGAAGAATGTAATTCTGTGAATACTTCTTCGGAGAAAGCATCTAAATTAGACTTTGAAGATGATATCCTACTCGAAAAAAGCAATTCTGATGAAATTAGTATGAGAAAAATGAAATTTGCTGACTCAGTTTTGAAGGATGAAAAAGTTGAAGGACCAAAACTTTATCATAAAAATTTATATAATGGCATTTTCCACAGTTTTGCAAATAACGAATTAAATAATCCAAAAAATACACGGAATGTAGAACGTTCAAATTCTAAAGCGCAAATTTTACCAGAAGCTGGAAAATTTCAATCAAAACGGTTTCTGTTACCAGCGATAGAACGAAGATTCAGTGATGAAGTTATCGAATATTTGGGTAAGAGGATGAAAGTACAAAATATAGAAAAAGATGGAAAAAGATGGAACAATGATGTAATTAAGTTGAAACCAAAGCTGCGCACTGATAATGAAGTAGTAGTGTTGAGGAATCTGAATAGCACTCAGAAGTCGTCATCTATCAAGCCTTTAATTCAACTAAGAAATTTTGATATAATAGCAAAATTTACTAACAACAAGAACTCACTGAGATCAAGTCAAATTAATACCAACAAAATCACAAGTAATTTCAGGTCAGAAAATTATTTAAAAACAAATCCTTATTTCTTGTTACCAGACAACCATACAGATGCAATGCACAATAAATTTGTTAATCAATTTGTACAAAATTTTAAACTTAGACCAATTTTGACTAGTTTTCTTGCTGATAGTAAACGTAAAATAGCATGCAAAACTTTGGATGGTTGCTCTGAGAAACAGCTAAAACAAGAAGTTAACTCTGAATCATTCCATAGATTGTCACCACAAATCAGAAGTTCTAATACTCTTTCAATTGATACAAATCAGAAAAAGATTAATAAGAGAAAATTAGAAAAATTACTTCGAATAAGAAACGCCAAGTTTTTTCATGCATCTGTCAATGAAGGATATTCAAAAAAGTTGGTAACCGGCAATTAATGTCACATTGAAACTTTTCTATTATAGTTCAGTAAATAACCAAATTTGGTTTTGAATAATTTGAATTTATTTTAGAATATGTATTTTTTCAAGTTTTTTCTTGTAGATAATTGTGTGATATTTCTTGTGTGCTCTCGTGATTTATATCTTTATTAACATGAAATTTATTTAATATTTTGTGCATAAAATAGTTACTTAATATTGATAGCAATTAATATGCACAGTGATACTTATGCAAATTTTGCTCAAAAGTATTTACTGTTCTGGGCAATAATTCGTGGAAATTTTAATCTCAGTAATTTCATGATTGCAAAGGGATATTTAATAAATTTGTAGCTAAATCTAAGGTTGCACTTCACGTCAAAATAGGAAGTTGAAACCTCGAATATTAACTCAAAGAAAATTTAGTCATATTTGGTAGAGTGAATTTAGATCTGATATATAGATGATTATTGCAGGTAATTATTTAAATGAAACTAAAATTGGCTCAGTTTACAAAAATAGAGAAAATAAAAGTTATTTAATATTCTAAACAAGTGATTAAATGATAACTCGATGACTTAACAAATTAATAACAAGTTTGGTGTCTTTGTACTTTATTGCTATCGTGCTAATTAATATGCTTATTGTAGTACTGGTGTTCTGCACTTAATAACACAATAAGTTTCAGAAAGATTTATTTATATTAAACTAATTCAAAGAATATGCATATATAGATGTTACTGAACTTTAGTAACAAATAGACAGAAATTACAGAATGTTTAAAAAATTAAAAATTTATCACTGAAAGTGCCAGAAGTTTATTTCTCGAATTCACGCCATTACTGGTAGCTTCATTTCTCGAACTTTTCATTTACCACAGCCACCACAACAGCAACAACCGCCTCTGTAATATTACAAAATCAGTCAAGTTGATCGAACATTCATGAATATCTCTTTCGCATTTAAAAAAAACACTTAAAATTGTAACAACTTCTGCATTACGTTTCACGCGCAAAAAGTTACGCTTAAAAAGTCTATTAGAGTGATAAAGTGAACATACAAAATGTATGTCTTGCTGTATAAAAGTTTTGTGGAAGGCATACTATTTTCTCAAGCGTAACACTTTTCATCAGAATTACATTACAAAAATTTTCCATTAGATTTCTATGCAATTCTTTGCTACACCGAAAAATTTCTTGATAAAGTTACATGTGTAAAGATTATTCTGCAATTTAATATTTGTTAATAATTAATACACGTTAACGCAAATTACATCACGTAAACTAGAAAAATAATATTCAAAAATTTGATGAGAAAAAAAATAAATTGCATACCCGCCACCTCCAAAAAAGATCGCATGAGTGGTTGTCACGAGGAAGACCAGAAGTAGGAGCAGATGTTGAAGCTGCAATGCAATCGATGCTACCATATTTTTGGTGAAGTTGATGTAGAATGTTGCCAACGAAAGTAAATGTGAAGTACAGATCGAGAAACTGCATTTAAAGACTTCACTTTGGGAGGGATTTACTCAATCCCACCCTTGTTGAATTCCTCATAATTCTTTGGATCACAGTGAAGATCAAATAATCATAACAATAAATGTTTTGTGCATGGAACTAATTCAAATTCTTCTCAGAGTGAAAATGAATATATCTTATACTAATATTCTGAACTATCCGATTATTTCCAATCTCAAGAATAATAACTATTTTGTATTCAAATTTTAATCCTTGCCTTCTAAAACAATAATGATTTTAATAGTTATTACTTTCAATTTCAATGAAATTGAGCGTGAAATAAATCTTCATTAGTTACGTTCATCTGATCTCACGCTTAGTAATGGAAAAAATTGAAAGGATAAATCTCTACATTAATTTTATTATCAAATTTATCATAAAATTTGACTGCTCTGATATTCAATATTTATATCACAAAAATGAATTCAGGAATACAAACATTATTTTTTATTATCATACTGATTCACTTATCTTAAAAATAATAATTCTCAATTCATAAAAATGATTCGCTATCATAAAAATAGTTATCGCTACAAAAAAATTATATTTATCATAGCTGTAAGTAAATGTATTTTGAACATAAATCTCTTTTAAACTTCATTCAAATTATTTGTAACATGCATGAATGGATGGATGAAA